TTCAACATACCTTTTACACATGCCATAAGATTAACTGTATTAAAAACTAAAAATAATCATTTTTCCTTAACACTTCTTCACCTGATTAAAAATTAAAAATCAGTATTTATTTGACTACATTATCAGTTAGTACATTTTTATTTATTAGTACCTTTTTAACTTTTGTGTTATTTAAACTACTAGTGTGAACGTATCCTGTTCTTTAATGGGTGGGTATGTAAACTTTCATGCACAACTGTATGTCAATGAAAAATGTGTGTTTTAAAATCACCAATGTTTCTCTGAAGTACATGATGCTCAGCTTTAAAAGGTGTTTTAAAGCATAAAAGGCTTGATAATGATAAATACTAACCTCTGACGATACTGGCTTGAAACTCAGAGTCAGGAAAACCATCATTGTGGCGATAACCTGGATCACTGTATGCTCCATTGCTGTTAGGAAAATACATCTTATTTACACAAAGCTTTATTTTTAGATAGAAAACATTGAAAATGTTACAAAGTCTTTAAATTTTATTAAGATGTACCGTATTACCACAATCTAAAATAATACTGTACACTATGTGAGTGCAAAAGAAAAACACAATGAAAAAAATTTAGAATTTAGTTTTTTTTAAGGTTGATTAGGTTATTTTTAAAGAAATGTAAACACATTATTTTAATTTAGTGAAAGAAACATCACATTTAACCATCTGCTTATTATTTTTTTAATTTCAAGAATCAAGCAAATCAGACTTTGTTTAAAAATAAAAAAATAAGGAAATATTAACTTACTTGATGTAGAGTTGAAGGTTAAACGCTGGGTTGAAGCAGGGAGAAGTGTTTTCCACTTTAGGAGCAGATGTCGGTGCTGATGCTGTGGAGTTGTGTTGATGTGGGGAGGCTGGCTGAGCTTTTTAACATCACCTCAGAAGGGACGGGGCTTTGTAAGATCACGTGCAATTACAAAGTTATTATGGGGGAATATGATGCAAATATTGACTTTAGTCTTTCTATCAATGGATAACTGTTTCTTTAAAACAAGTTCTTCCGCTAAGAGGAATTTTCTTTAACATGACTGGAATAAATTTTGCTAATATTGAACCATATTTCCTCCTTTGTGTACGCTCTCTGAGAAACAAAAACTCCATTGAATTTGGACCCGGTAAAAAAGGTTCTAAAACAACAAAAATGGTGCCGTTTTTTAGAATTAGAGTCGAATCCTGCCAAAGCTGATGAAACTATATAAAGTTATCTGTTTATTTAGAGCTCAAAATGCAGAGGAACGTCTACCTTTACATGAACAAATAAAAAAGAGAAAGAAATGAAGTGATGAAACAAAGAGAAGTAATGAAAATATTAGATCAAGATGCAAGAGCTTTATAAGGTATGTTGAATGACCCATGACACTGATGAGTTCAG